CTTCGAAAACTCGTGCAGTATTAAAATCAGAGATCTGAAGTAACCGTTTCCTCTGGTAATAAATTTAATTTTGTTGGTTGTTTCAATCTGCATTTAAAAGCGTACAGACGTCATTAAATAGCAATAAAAACAGCCGATATAACATAATTCACATCACATCACAGTGCATGATTTATACTGTGAATTTGTATCGTATTGTGTGACTAAGCTACAGATAAGTATCCTGAAGAGAAAAACTGTGTTGAAAGATTTTTCAAAATTTCCCTCATACTCTCCATATTAACGTGAAAATACAGTATCAATACGAGCCACAATTATGAAAAGGTTTAAATACATGATAACACTCAAATCAATAAACCTGTGGATATGATACGAAACACGCGATACTGGAGCAAACGTAAAGTTTTGTTTCACAATTTGCATTTTTAAAAGTGCTGAATATTCATGCCGAGTTCATTCTGGAGTCAATACTTCCTTCAATCAGTGCCTAATTGCGACTCGCCTGTACACACTACAACCAACTGCTTCCAAATCCTTACCTACTAACGATTAACAATTTTCCAATTCCTCTGCAAATTGGAACAGAGCACTTTAATAACATCAGAATAAATCCACCGGCAGAACTCAATAAAACTCACAGCAGGGCAAATGTCTTCATCAAACAAGGCAAGAATAAATGAAGTTAGAGGAAGAAACGTATATGCAAACCACAGACATCTCAGAATAGGGGTTCTCAACCCCCGGGCCGCATGCGGCCTTCCGATGTGTTACGCGGTTCCAGTACACTTTTCAAAACAGACCCACTATGCCAACATGTATAACTAACTAACCAACCAGATGGCTTAGGGAACCCGAAGGTTCATCACCGAATTAACGAAAGCCCTCCACCGGACCCTGTCTCCTTCAACTCCTATCTCCCATAGATCCCGCCTGAGATTATCCTCCCATCTACGTCTAGGTCTCCCCAGAGATCTCTTCCCATCAGGCTTCCCAAATAGTGGACCCAACCAACCAGATGGCTTACCGAACCCGCATGTTCATCACCGAATTAACCAAAGCCCTGTCCTGGGCCAACAAAATCCAGTCTCCTTCAACTCTTATCTCCCATAGATCCCGCCTGAGATTATCGTCCCATCTACGTCTAGGTCTCCCCAACATGTATACCGTAAAATATTTCATCGACATTAGAAAATGGATTTTTTTTATTTTCTTGGTTGGCAATACGGCCACTGAAAGCAACTACACACCTTCGTGAAGAACGTAAAATCAAGAATTATGTCCCGTCTCACTGACGAACACCTGTAGTTAGGCATTGCAAATCTGATATTAAAACATAAATATTGCAGTGTAATATCCAGAACTTGATTTAAGTCTGTCACTTGTTCAATGCGGGTTGTCCCAAAAAAAGATATATAAACACAATATTAATATTCCGTATTATACATGTGTATACTTTTACTTTGGACACGCTGTATTTGAAGTTACTGAACTTCATTGTATAACTGATGTTTAACACAATTATTTCTTGTTAAAATTTGCGATATTTAATTTTTGTTATATTAAATGCATTGAATTAAAAAATATGTAATTCTTCTTTTGTTTGTCTGTATGAGCAGCCATGTTCTGTAATTAATAATTAATTAATTCATTTGGAGACAGACAATCTGAAAGTAAACACAGAGCCAAATATCGTAATAGTGGCCGATTCTGTTAACTCAGTGGTATGAGGAGCTGTTAATATAAAGAGTAAATATTTTTTTTTAAGAAATCGCTTTTAATTCTCTACAGGCCAAATTATGGCTGTCTTCTGGGTTGTAGCGCCGTGTAATCCGGTAGAAGTTCAATGTTTCAGAGGTCCTCGCTGCCTCCATCATCAGGGCTATTAGTCTATACGTCGCTGCAACCCAGAAGACAGCCATCTTCGTGTTTACCGCAGTGAAAATGCCAAATTATCTTCATTTAGAAACTTGCGAGTCCATAAGTAAGTGTGAAATTGGCCCTCGGTCTGGGAAATGTTGAGAACCCCTGTCCTAGAAGTCCTCCAGTTTTAAAATTGTAATAAGCAATTACAGCTGGAGTTGAAAAGAGCGTGCCCCTTTCATTATGCAACGACAACAACACGTTCAATTAAACTTCCAATAGGACAATCACTGAAACAGAAAAGTAACTAAGTACGTCTGGACGAACTACAGAAGAAAGACCTCCTGCAGACAATATTTATATCTCGGCTCTAACATTAAACGCTGTGCAAATGAACGGGGTTTATCGGAACTACGCATATGCACAAAAACTGCAGACCCCCACAAACTTGTAGTCTGTATTTGTAATAGCAAGTCGCCATTCTATCACCTACAATTATCGACCGAGACAACCGGCGTGCTCCCCAAAAGACTCATACCACCACGACCAAGCCCACGGATATAGGCGAAGGGCTACTGACCTAAACGGGTCTGCATTAAAAGCCATCGCGTTTGTATTATATCCGGAGCACGGCGTTACAATCGCCATTTTACACCAAACAAGAAAGGGAACTGAACAACACATTTTTCAAAATCGTGTCATCGTACAAGTAGTCCGCGCGACGATTACAAAAAGATGTGGATCTCGTTAAATTCTGAATTTTAAAATATTTTGTCGATGTTGGTCCTCGGGGGTAGTAGCGCCGTGTGGACTTGTAGGAAGACACCGACGCTTCGAAGGAACAGCCCTGAAGACGGAAGCAATATGTGCCTCCGAAATGTTGATCACACACACAAAATCACACGCGGCGTTACAATCCACAAGACCAACATCTTAACCGAAGCCACAACCTAAAATCTTAACTGCAATGTTTATTC